GTCTTGCATTGGTATTTTTTCTAGGGCTTTTGTTGAATCGGCTATTTTGTGGTCGCGCAATTTATCCCTTTGTAACGTTCTTATGAGCTTTATCGTAGTTCAAGTCACTAGTTTTTTTGTCATTTATTTTTTAATGATGCAAAACAAGTTAAAGAAACAGTTACAATTCTGCGTACACGTTACTTACACAAAAACATGAATAACTTGTTGTGCTTTTCTTCCAATTATTATTTCGATCTGCGAGAAGCATAGCGAGGCGGCATTTTCATCTTTATAACTGTTTAGTCCAACTCAGTTTTGGAGAGAAGCTGAGAGAGTGCATTATTGAATCGTTTATTTGGCAATATCTACATAGCATATTGTCTCCTTCTACGTGTCCTTGCAAATGGTTTTCATTCCCCCATAAAAGTCTCTAAAGGACTCTTGTCTACTTGTAAGTCTCGGGCCCATTTTGTGCTTGCCCTGAGTTGGATTTTGTCTTTGTCGATTAACCGGCTTTATAGAAGTTTTTTTTTGTTGTTGTCATTTTAAGGAGATTTTACCGGTTTCTGATGAAAACGGAGATATATTTTTAGCATATTTTTAGATATATTTTTAGAATTAACGGCACGGATGAAGGCTTTCGAAACTGTTGAGGCTTGAAATCGTATGCACAAGCTGCGGGTTAGTTTTTTTCGGGCCGCGGAAGAGACTTTCACGCAAGATAATATAGAGTATGGACTTTCAGAAAATTTCAGTTTCGACTTTAAATTCAATGTACCAGTGGGCTTTTGATGGTATTGAAATTAGCTAAAATTAGCCCTTTCGCTCACGGGCTCCGATGAAAGTACTTGTATCGGCCTAAAATATTATTACACTTGGAGCTTTTGCTAATCAAATTAATGCTTTAGAAACAGCAAGACATGCACTATGAGATACCTAAAGTATATTGATAGATATCGACGCGTTGATCTGTACGAGCGAAAAGAAAAATGCTCAATTTTCGGCCATTTTCGGCGGCGTCAGGCAGCTAAAATGGCGATTTTCGAACTTTACTCGATTTCGAAAAAACTAAAGCACTTCAGGACCTTTGAATGGTATTTTGAAAACAACTCACTATAGAGGCTATTCGGGCAAAATATGACGAAATCCCGGCAAAATTCCGCGACTGTCATCTCATACTCGGGATTTACAGGAATTGGCTCTTAATCATTTTACTTTACATCGTGAGATATGTATGACTCAAATATTCGAATAGGTCACGTGCTGGAATCTGAAAAGTTTTTCATTACAATACCTGCAAGGTCCAAGCCACAAATGGGAGAGTTCATTCTCTTATATCAGCATAGGTTTTGGCATCTGTTAATTTTCTCCACAGATTCTAAACTCTGTTATTTGTACGCTACTAAAGCAAAAGTGTTTTTTTTTCAACGACAGATCGTGAAAATTGACGTGGACTGTATAAAAACATTACTGAGCATTTCGCAGCACTTGTGCGCCATCTTGCAGTAACTTGCCACAAGTGTCTCGTACAAGAAATAAATCCAACCCATCAGTATTCGAAGCCAAATTGAGTGTGTATGGGTTTTATGAAAAAAATGTCCCCGATTTATATTATCAGCTGCAGGGACGCAGCAAATGTTTTACCAACTTCCTGACAATTGCGTTGTGTTCTTGGGCTAGACACTTTACCTTCATAGTGCCTCTCTCCATCCAGGTGTATAAATGAGTACTGGCAAACTTAATGCTGAGGATAACCCTGCGATGAACTAGCATCCTATCCAAGGGGGAGTAGAAATACTCCTAGTTGCTTCATGCTACAGAAACCAGGACAAGCTCAGCTTGTATGCGGGCCTCTTGGCACGCCTTTCTGTCCCGCTAAACTGCCTGTTCTGCAGACTACACATGCACTTTAAAGGCCACTTGATGCCGAAAGATTTAGGAAGCTTTAGTGTCTTCGTTTAGACAAACGTCTGAACAGTTTTTGAAAAGGTTTAGTTCCCAAGGTGTTTTGGTATCTTTTTCTAACTTAACGTGTTTACCATACTTAAGTTCCTTTTTCTGTTTTCAGTTTTTACATAAAAGCGCCAGGATTCCGTTGGCGATTTAGTAAAAGATGATATATTAGACCTGAGAAAATACTTGCCTTACCCCTTACCCCAGGATTTATTTATATTGGCAAGCTACTGCTACAGTCACTGGCAAATCACAACTTCAAATCAAGGCTGAATTAATTTCCCTGTTGGGTACTAAATACCTGTCTTCTGCCAGTTCCATTTTACAACACACTAGCTTGTTCTTGAGACTTATAAAGACATTGATAAAAGCTTGTGTCCTTTAAAAAAAATTACAAGACAATTAGGAACGACAATGAGAAGTGCAAACAAGTAAAAAATCCATGAAGTAACGCCAAACTCAGTTTACTTCCAAAGTTTATTTCCCACAGTTTAAAAAGCTTACAAATGGTATCAAAAGGCCCCTGTCTCAAAATTTCACCTCCTACATTTTGCTACGTTCTTCCTTTCCCATTTCTTCCTACTATTAAAGCATGAAATGACACTTTGCAAATGAGCAAACTTTATTTCAGTTTGGTCCACAACTCATGTCGCCTTTCAGATCATCAAAGTTGATGTGACCCCATCCACCAGAACTGACGTCAACCAGTTTGACGCGTGCGCGTTGACCAACAGAAGCTCCGACATCCCAGGTCTTACGAGTCATCGTCTCAGTACATTTCCCGGTAGCTGATTTGATAACCTGAAAATGATTTGCGGGATGCGTCACATGAAAACTATGCTATTAAGCTACAGACATCAAGGAAACGCAGTAATGATAATAGAGTTAAAATCTGGAAAGGAAACATTTCACAAAGGAAGTTCCTCATGAACAGACGAAAACCTTCCTTTAGACAAAAAAGCTTGGCACAATACTTTTACCAATTTTGAACTTTAAGCTGCCAGTTTTCGCATTAGTTCTCTCGAGTATAACTTTTTTTTAGCGCTTTATACGCATCACTTTCTATTTGACATCCTCGCTTTTTGCAGTATAGTGGTTTTACAGCCAAAGCATTTTTTGTTCAGTTTTTATATATATAAAACATAACTCACTTGCGACAATCTTCTTGCATGCAACTTTAGTCTGAAGCATTTTCTCTTGTTTAAAGATTGCATATAGAAACAGTTACTGAAAAAGGACTCTACAAAGCTTTTCTTTTGTTTTTAAGTATTGCATAGCTCGGAATAACCTGAGTAATTTATATATATATATATATATTTAACCGAAAATTTACTGAATCGAATTTTCCTGTCAGGGGAGGCTTTTCAGAGCCAATGTTGACAGTCAGTAATCTCAGAAAGCAAACATCTTACATGTACAAAAATCCAAGTTATCAGGAAGCGCGACTGGCTTTAACATTTGGTAACAATGCTTACCTTGTTGCCAATGATCAAATCGACGCGAACCAGTTTTATATCACAGCCTCCACCAATCAGAAACGAGATGTGTTTGCCCGTGATGGTGAAGTATGGGGAAGTAAGAGTTCCTTGGGGTCCGTCTCCTTGCGTTTTACCAGCGGGAGCTGATTTTAAGGGTCTGTTTTCGTATCCTCCGATCCACCAGTCGCCTTGTTGACGTGCAGGTTGTCCTCTGTTCCGAGCTGTAGGGTTATCACCATAGGTCGGCTGGTTGTTAAACGCTGTTCCAGTCTTATCCCAACCGTGGATTCCGTCTTCAAAGTCGAACTTGCACGCTTAATTAGCAAAATAAACGAAGCATAATGTATCTATTTCAAATCAATCAACGCGCGTATTTTTGGGCTATTTTCTAAAGTATTACATTAAATGCGATGCATTAGAAATTTTGATAAACTAACAGTCAACTGATCGGTGAACTGTACATAAAACTGGCCTGAAAACTACGCACATAACAAATTTGTCTTAAAGTTTTGCCACAGTACTGGCTAAAACGCTAGGCGACACGCTGAAATAAATCATGAGACAGATGTACCTGGTTTAAATTTCTCCAGGGCATCTATCCTTCCTTCCAATGATTCTAGCTTCTTTTGCAGCTGACTTAAAGCCGTTTTCACGTCTTTTTCGGGGTACAGGTTCACAGCATTGTAATTGCCTTTAACGATCACTTTACCCGAATCGAAATCAGTGACGTTTTTTGCATCTGATGGACGGGCATAAACGCTTTCCAGCGACACAAAAATCACAAGGAAAGCGGTAAAACAGAGCAAAACTTGAGCACCCATGGCAGAGAATATTGTCAGCTTCGAAGAATTCTGTCTCCAAATAGAACAACGTGTGATGACTCATACTACCCATTCTAGCTAACGTGTTTTTTCTCGGCAGCAGTGTCAGCACAGCTGTCACGCTATGATTCTTATTGTCGTGACATTGTTTACTTGTCTGCTTCATTCCGATATATACCAACAACTGTAACCATGTAACTGAGACATATCGCTGCTTTTCGGTCAACCAATAGCTGACACTTTAGGAACTGTACTAGTTTCATACAGGATTGCTACCCACGATACATACTGAATTAGTGTAATCTGGAACGGGTTGAAAATATTGGATAAATTAGTATAATTCATTCACGATCGACACGAAGGATTAGTGATTCTTTGAACATTTAAGACATATCTAAACATAGTTTACAGTTTTGATTCAGACGACACGGAAACAAAATCAGTAAGCTTAAATTGGCTGATATATCTTAAATCCTGACCCCGTTTGAAAATCGACACTCACTCTGCTACCTTACCAAGAAGATACGCTCCATTTCATTTCCTTATTTAAAATTGTTATTTGTTGCGGTTCAAAGATTTAATAGCAGCAAATCGGTAAATCGTTACATTTGTTTTCACGGTTCATCTATTCTGACAGCTGCGATGGTGACGCGCTTAATGCCAGCATAATGGCGAGATTTGACCGAGTTGAGCCCTTCTATTTCTTTTCTTTTTACAGGTACAGTCGAACCCTATTAAACGGCCACCTATTAAGCGGCCACCCCTATTAGACAGCTAGTAATCAAAGTCCTGATGAAGGCTCATCTATTGTTTTTACCTCTATTAAGCGGCCACTATCTATTTCTCCGAGGGTGGCTGCGTTAAATAGGGTTTAAACTGTATAACACAAGAACGACAGATCGATACGGACGAATATTTCAAAACTAACTCAAAGGAACTGCACTGCTAATTCATATGCACGTCATCCATCGAGTGCGCACTAGGTAATAAAATGGACAATGATAAAGCAGATGGCCATTGCTATAGCTTTGCCTGGATTTAACGATCTTGGACGTTCGGTTACCCCCGTTTTTCTTTTGATTGATCATTTTCTCTACCGCTTTTCTACGTTTAGCAAAAAATCGAAGGAAATCTACCGATTAGAACTCAGTTGAACTTTTTGCAAAATGCATCATCGAGATCCGTTCTTTTGAGCTTTTCGTTTATCTGTGCGACGGTTTCAAATGCCTCTTGAAGGGTTAAGTTTGGTGAAAACGTTGGCAACATTTAGAATTATTTGAGCAACACACCCACTTCTACAAAATATGACTGAAATCGTTTGCCTCCGTTGAACTATAAACCCCTGTAGACCATGCTGAATTACATACGCCAATTTTTCAAAAACAGGCTAGTTTTTCACACGCTTTAAGTCGGTGACCCCCAGTTTTTGCATTTCCGACACAAGTAACTCATTATCTGACTGCAGTAAAAATTTTAAAAAAAATCCGTTGCGCGAACGTTCTTAAGTGTACTGGAATATCAGAAAATGAAGTTTGGATAACAGTCACTGCTGTATTGGTGTAAAGTAACGGTTGTCATTTCTTATCATACGTGGAAATCGCGATTTTGCTGTTATGGTTCTTTTTTGCAATAAGCGTTTTGTTTGAAACGTCAGCCAATCACAAGCGACACGGAAAATCCGATAAGCCGTGAATCAAAACGTAAAGTAAATACATAACACAATTATCAAAGTTTACTGCAGAACCACTCGCCTGCGGCTCGTGGTTCCACAGCCACTTTGACAATGTTATGACGTAATTTATCATCAATAAGAGGACAGACGC